CGGGGCCATCGAGTCGATGGTGACTCACAGTGGCCCCATAAGACAAGGTAAAACTGCCTTTGTGAATTTCTGGGATGGTAATTCTTTACAGGAGTAGAAAGCCCCATCTTTCTGCCATGGGGCAGCTGGTGGTTATGAACTGCTGATCGTAGTTGCCCTTGCAGATCACAGTCCAACACAGAACCCCTGCCCCACCAGGGCTCCCACGTACACACACATGCACAGACACAGCAGGTCCTTGAGTGATGGCATGTCCATCAGGGCTCCATCCTAATAGAGGGATGGCTAGAAGTTGGTACAATTCTAAAAAGGCAATTTACTCAAGAAAGCTAGACAATGGTGAATTCAAAAGGCATGCCTAGGCTAAGCAGTCTGTGACCCCACAAAAGCCTCATCATGGAATAGGAATTACATCTCTCTCGAGTCTTCTTTTTAGGAACCTTGGTAGCACAGTGGGCTACATGCTGAACTGCTAGCCACAAGGTCAGCAGTTCAAACCCACCTGTTGCCCTGAAGAACATTGCGACTGTCTGCCCCGTAAAGCTTTAAAGCCTTGAAATTCCAAAGGCGCAGTTCTATGCTGTCCTAAAAGTCCACTATGAGTCAGAAGCAACTTGAAGACAGTGAGGGGTTTGTTTTGTTTTGGAGCTTTCTTTTAAAAGCTCAAAAGTCTCCTCTTAGGCTCAACCTGCTTCCTAGAAACATTCAATGATGAAGAGAATGTTACCTCACATGACATTTTATGAGCTCACAGGTCCCCAATAGCACACCCCAGTGAAGGTGGCTATGCCAAGGTTGATTTTATGCCCACTTTACAGGTGTGAAACCTGAGGCTCAGGGAGATGTCCAAGCTGGAAAGAGCAAAAGCACGCTCTGGACCCCAGGCTCCCTGAGCCCGGACCAGGAGGCTTTCCCCTGCAACACATTGGCCTTCTCTGAGGCAACATTTTCCACCACAGAACTAGCATTAGCTCATGTACCCTGTCCACAGCCTTGTGTTGACTTTGAGCTGCCACCTTGACATGCCAGATGTCATGTATTTAGTTAAGTCAAAGGGAATTAAAAAGACATGCTTTAAAGGAATACAGATTTTCCCTTCATCCCTTGATAAAAGTTCACATCATCCCTTCCTGGATCAGGAAACACGGTGGAAGAACGATATTGAACGCCATTCCTGGAAATGCATTTAGGTGTTTCCACATAATTGAAACAAATTGAAAAATCCATGATAATATGAACCCTATAGCTGACAATGTTTTCACACAAACCGAAATAGTGGGTCATGGTTGGATTCTTAAAACTAAAGCTGCATGACTTCCTCTTCTCCTCTAGGTTTTTCACACTGAATTATCTGAGGGGAAGAGTCAGGGGGATATGAGGGGGGATATAAAACAGAGCAATAGCCCCCAAAGAGGCCCACATCCTAATTCCTGGAACCTGTGTGTACATATTAATGTTCTTGGCAAAAGAGACTTTGCTCACGTGATCAAAGCCTTTGGAATGGGGGTGGGAGGTAGTTATCCAGGATTACTTGGGTGGGTCCAATGAAATCATGAAGGTCCTCAAAAGTAGAAGAGGGGCCAGAAATGGAAGTCTGAGTCATGAGAGGGGAGAAGGACCCACTGCCATTGTTGACTTTGAAGATGGCAGCGGAAGGCCAGAAGCCAAGGAATGAATATAGGCAACTTTTAGAAACTGGAAATGGCAAGAAATGGATTCTCCCCTACAGCCTCCAAAGGGGAGCATAACTCTCTCTACACCTTGATTTTAGCCCAGAGAGACCTATGTCCTAAATAGGTGTCATTTTAGGCCACTAAGTTTGTGGTGTACTGGGTTATGCATTGGGTGGCATAGTGGGTTATATTGGGTGACTAACTGCAAGGTCAGCAGTTTGAAACCACCAGTGGTTCCAAAGTTTTCTACTCCTGTCAGGAGGTACAGCCTCGGAAACCCGCAGGGGGGCAGTTCTCCTCTGTCCAATAGGGTCCCTCTGAGTCAGCATCCACTCCATGGCAGTGAGTGAGGGAAGTCTGTGGTGAGCCAGAGTGGTAAGAAATCACATGAGCACCTAATTCTGAACCGACTGGGATCTCCTGACACCCATCATTAATTGTTTTTGTTTCGTGTTGTGTTGTTTTCACTCTTCCTCCCATTGACTCAAAAAATCCCAAACCAAACTCACTGCCATCGAGTTGATGCTGACTCATGTCGACCCTAGAGGGCAGGGTAGAACTGCCCTCTGTAGTTTCCAAGACTGTAACTCTGTATGGGAGTAGAAAGTCCTGTCTTTCTTCTGTCGATTGGACTAGAACAGCAAACTCAGGAGCAAAGAAAGTGAGGATCTGAATTTCATAAAATGGTTTCATAGTCAACAATATCACCCATTCTCAAAACTCCTGCTAGAAATAAAAGCTTATATCAAAACTTAACAATTTCTGGTGGCTAGCAGGAGAGAATTTGGAAAGATAATTCTTTCAAAATCAAGTTTGGAACCCAGGGAAGGAAGAGCCAGTGTTGTTTGGGACCCTCTCCCCCCTCTCCCAATCTCATCTCCCTTGGACCACAGGTAATGCTAACTTCAAGAACAAAGGCTGCCTCCCTATTCCTGACCTGGAGCAACCAGCTAATTCAAACCTGTGTGGATCCTGACATTTCCCATCTCGGTAGCAATGCTGTTGCCATTTCAAATACAGCCCATCTGGGGTGCTGCGGAAAAGAGCTCCTTCCACATTTTCCAGAAAGGTGCACCAGATAAGACAAAGCAAATCAACCTGAGGCATGAGCAACTGGGACCAACTAAGACTGGAAATCCAAGAGACGGTTGGATGCAATCTCTTTAGCAAGACTGAAACTGTGTTCTCAGGAATGAAGAGAAACTTTTAAGTCAAGGATCTTAAGGGTTTGTAAACTCCAGGCAGTCAAAAGAGCCCTTGCTTGGGATTTCGGCGCTCTGAATTTTACTCTAAACTGGGACACTAATCTGTGGGCCCTGGTGGAGGAGCAGCGGGGACGGGTTGGCCTGCTAACTGTAAGGTCAACAGTTCAAAAGCACCAACCGCTCCACGGAGAAAGATGAGGCTTTCTGCTTTCATAAAGATTTACTATGAGCTGGAGTCACTATGGTGTGATTTGGTTGGGGTCTTTTTTTTGGGGGGGTCCACTTTGACAAGCCTCCTTGTTCCTCTGGGGGGCAACTCTGATGACCCTCCAACTCTGCTGCTCGATGCAGGCTTTGAGGATCTAAGACAGCTCAGGTGAGAAGTCTCACCCGCAAGAGAAGCGGAATGGAGACGATGATGGCATCCAGTATGCCCCAAAGTTCTTTCCTAGTCCAGACCACTCTCTCAGCCTGCCGTCCGAAATCTGGCCCAGACCGGAAACTGGAGGGCCAGCTGTGGTGAGGGGGCAGGAATCACGCATTGATCTGAGTCAATATCTGCGGAAGGATTTCAGGAACACTAAAATCGGGATCGCAGGAGGGATTGCAGGAGGGATTTGCTCAGCTGAACCAAAGGGGCCGGGAATGGGATGGGGAGCTGGCAGCAGGCAAGTGTTCCCAAGGTTGCCCTGTCCTCCCTTGCCTAGATCACAAGAAGTGGAGTTTGAGGACCAGAAGACCCCAGTCTTAGCCCTGACAGACTAGTGACATATTTGAGCATAATCCATCCCATTCGCTGGGACTGTTTCCCACGGGATTCACCGCGGTGGGGATTCTAGTGCGGTGATCCAGCAGCCACCGTTCCTCTGTGGATGACCTAGGCTTATCCTCCCGTCCAGCACCCCCCAGCCGGGGACCCCCTCCCTTCCTCATTCCAGCGCTCCCCCCTGTTGCCAGTTCGCGCTTCCCCTGCGCCTGGGCTCCCCCGTCCCACTGTACCTGCGCGGTGGGCCCCGCCAGGTTGGCCGGTAGGGTTGGGGCCGCGCCCGGGACTGCCGGCCGGCCCGCGGGTCCCCCAGGTCCGGGGGCGGGACGGGGCCGCGGGGGCCCGGCGGGCCAGGGAGCCGGGGGCCGCGGGGGGCGGCAGTAGCAGCAGCGGGGGCAAGAGCAGCAGGAGCAGTCGCTGGAGGTGGCGGGCAGGAGCCGAGGGCAGCATGGCGCTTTCGGTGGTCCAGCCTCGGGTCGTCGGTCAGGTGGGCCGCCAGCCGTGCAGTCTGTCCGGGGACCAGTGCGGGGCGCCGAGGCGGCCCATTTAAAGGTCCCGCGGCCCTGGGCCCCGCCCCCGGCCCGCCCCTCCGAGGCTGGGCGCTGGGGGGTGCGGTGTGGACCGCCAGCGCCCGCGAGGAACCCCGCCCAAGGCCAACAAGGAGCCTGGTCCGCGCATTCCAGTGGCTGACCCGGAATGTCTGGGGCGAGCGGCCCGGGCGCGGGCTGCGGTGCTCACCCGCCCGCCCGGTGCCCTGCGCCGCGACCAGCCGCTGGAGGCCACCTTGGACAAGCGACTGCCTGCCAGGCCTTCATAATTGCCCCCTTGTCCCCAGACAGGGGAGTGGGAACCCCAGGTCCTCTGGCCTGCTCCCCAGTCGAGGACGCCCTGGGCCCTGCCCTTGGGATGTTTCGGCTCCAGGTATGCCTCCTGGCTCCGAGCAGGAAGATGAAATGGGGCTCCTCACACTGCATTCCTTTTCCCAACCAACTAACCAGAGGTTTGCTGTGGCCTCTCAACTGAAGGAAAAAAGAAGTTTAAGAGAATCTAGCAGCATCAATAGAAACGCTGCCATCCCAGTTTCAAGCATTCATTGCTATTACCAGGAATAGAAAGGCAAACCTACCTACCTACCTGCAGAGCCCCAGGTTAGCTGGGAGGACAGCTTGTACCCACATAGTTCAAGAGGCTCCCCCTATAGCCCATTTCCCCGCTGCCAGAGTGTACCGAACTGCACAGGAGTGGAGGCTGCCCAGGGTCCCTGAGGGAACTCCCAGTCTATGGAGAGAGAAATATACAGTCATTGCTAGGGTGGGGGTGCTGTACCTGGGTAAGAGAACATGCAGAATTCAGCAAAGACACCCCAGCTCTGCCTGATGAAGCAGGTGACTTTTGAGCTGGGTCCTACAACAGATGATGAACATGAGTCCCGACAGATTCTGTCTGTCCTTCCTGCTGCCACTCTTGGCCCTGACACCATGCTGCCCACAGTGATCTTGATCACGTCTCAGCTTCCCTCACTCCACTCAGGAAGTGAAGTTGTGCTTTCACTTCCAGTAAAATCCAAACTGCATTCATGTCCTCCAAAGTCCAATAGGATCAGATCTAGCGTCCCCTGTTTCTGTGAATGCAAACTGAAACTGCACCCCTGCTGGCCACACTCGGACCACACTAGCCTTTGAAGGACAATTCCAAGCTGGGTCCCACCGTCTGGTCTTTGCACCTACTCTTCCCTCTGCTTAGAAAACTCTTACTTCAATCACCACCCTGCTGCCTGCGTTGTATCACCCAGCTCTCAACACCAATGTTACTTTCTACAACCTGCTGTATTATTTTCTCAGCATTTCGTTCTCTCTAGAATTATTTTTATTAGATTAGTCTTGTTAATAGTCTATTTCTTTTCACCACTCATACAGTTTACCATCATCTACACTCCATAAATTTAGGTCTTTGTGGTAGTTACATAATCTGGTGTCAATTTGGGACTTGAGAGGATTAAGAGTGAAGGGGTGGAGTCTAGTCTGTCAATCAGGTTATAGCCAATGAGGCCTCTGTATAGGTTTGGCCTTCTCCTGAGAACTATGGGAACTCTTGGATTTCCTCCTTGGAGGCGGAAGACATTCTCTCTCTCTCTGCTCACTCCCTGGGAGACGACCTACTGACAAGACACATGGTGCTATGCCCTGGAAACTGGAGAAGCCACATGGACCTACCCTGATACAACCAGACCTCTGGAGCCAGAGAGGCCACATAGAGACCCCTGCCAGCGCTGAGACGCTTACAACGCCACTGGATCCAAAGACTTCCAACCCACTGGCCTGTGTTCCTCCTGCATTCGGCATCATTCTGTGAGTCTGAAGAGGACTTTATAGATTGGTATCAGACATATAGGCTAATATTGGACTTATGGACTTGATCTGGACTGGGCTGGGACATTTTCTCAGTATTTAATTGCTCTTGTATATAAACCTCTTTCTTATATACATTTGAGTGACTCTGGATTTGTTTTCCCTAATCAACCCGGACTCACAATCTCTTTTATTCACTTCTTTATTCCTACCACCTAGAAGAGTGCCTGAGAATGATTTAATACATGTTTGTAGAATAGAAGAATGAAGGAGGGGATGAATAAAGCAACTTTCCAAACTATAGAGTCGAGTCCGTATAAGGGATGCCTGGGAAAGGATGAGTGGCCTGAGGCGGCTAGAAAATGAAGGGGCTTGTGCATCATGGGGATGAAGGAGGCAAGGGAGAACCTGGCTACGGGAACCTCGAATGCTAGGAAAAGAATCTGGACCTTTGTCTACATGTGGTAGGGAGTTTTGAACATGCCAAGTCTGGCAAGTGTCCTGGCCAGTTTACTCTGAGTGTCATTTGGAGGATTGTTGGAGTCTAACGGTAGTCTAGGGAACCCAGTGAAGCGGTAGGTAGGTTCGACCAGATATGGTGATTGCATCTAACCTAGTGCAGTGGGGTTGGGGAAGAAAATATGAAAGAGCTAGACTCTCCCTCTCCTGCATGAGCCTGTCCCTGCCGAAAAAGATATAGTGCCCCGGGGTCTTTGGCTTGAGCCTGGGGTCCTGAAAGTGTAGCCAAGATTCTCTTGCTCTTTGAATTCTTTAGAAGTTCATGAATGTCCCAGAAAACTGTAAAATGCAGGTACCTCTGAAAGGGTCACTCTTTAAAACTCTCATCACTTTCACTACTGTGGTGGCTCTTAAACTGTTTCTCCTCCCACCAAACCTGCATCACTGTAATTTTGCTATTGTTATGAATAGGGTGACCCCTGTGAAATGGTTATTCGACCCCCTAAAGGGGTCGTGACCCACAGGTTGAGAACCACCTCTGTAATGGGAGTAGAAAGCCTTCTCTTCCTCCTGAGGAATGGCTGGGAGGTTTGAACTGTTGACCTCTAGGTAACCACTGCAACACCAGGGCTCCTGACTCATTATCAGTGGGAGTAGCTATGATCATAATGGGGAGCAGGGATGTTTCCTAATCCCATTTGGTTCCTTGTCCTAACTGACCACTACAGCACTTAATCGATTGACCTATCAGTGCAATGAACAGGGTTGTAATCAGTGCAATTGAGCAGGGTGGTCAATTGCGTATGATGCCATTTAGAAGAGCAAGCAGCCTGAAGGGTCCTGCAGGAGGTTTCCTCATCCATGCCAGTGGGTCTCGGAGACTGCTAGTGAACTACAGGAGCCCAGGGTCCCTCAGGGCTCTGCACAGGAATGTCATTGGGTCCTTGGAAGTGCAAGTGGATTCAGTTGGGTACTTTACTAAACATGTCAAGAACTTTAGAGCAGGAGGCAAAGGGCCCCCACCAAGGTGAATAGATCTTATTCTTTTTTTTTTCTTTTAAATTAAATACTTTCATTGGGGGCTCTGTAAAAGCAATCCATCCATCCATGTGTCAAACACATTTGTATGTATGTTGCCATCATCATTTTCAAAACAATTTCTTTATACTTGAGCCTCTGCTATCGGCTCCACATTTTCTGCCCCCCTCTTTCACCCTCCCTCTCTCATGAACCCTTGATAAATCATAAATTATTATTTTCATATCTTACATCATCTGCTGCCTCCCTTCACCCACTTTTCTGTTGTTCATCCCCCTGGGAGGGGGTTATATATCCATCTTTGTGATCGATTCTCTTTCTCCCCCCACCTTTCCCTTACTCTCCTGGTATCTCTATTCTCGTTATTGATCCTGAGGGCTTTATCTGTCCTGGATTCCCTGTGGTGCGGACTCTTATCTGTAGCAGTGTACAAGTTCTGGTCTAGTCAGATTTGTTAGGTAGAATTGATTTCATGATAGTGGGTGGGGGGAAAGAAACATTAAAGAACTAGAGGAAAGTTTTATGTTTCATCAGTGCTACACTGCGCCCTGAAAGGAGACATTGTGGGAAGTGTAAGATGTGAAAACAAAAATAATTTATAATTTATGAGGGGTCCATGAGGGGGTGAGGGTCGGGGAGGGAGGGGAAAAAAAAGGAGCTGATACCAAGGGCTCAAGTAGAAAGAAAATGTCTTGAAAATTATGATGGAAACATATGTATAAATGTGGTTGATACAACTGATGAATGGAATGTTATAAGAGCTGTAACAGCCCTCAATAAAATGATTTATATAAAAAAATTGGACAGACAATAGAATGCAGTTCTCATGCTTTCTGCCTATTCACAAAGATCTAATACAAGTAGAATCCATGTTAACGCCCTCATCAATTAAAAAATGAAGGTGGTAATGCAATTTACAAACAATTTAACACATTTATTTTCCATATTTACTTGGATTTTACATGGAGGATTTCAGTTATGACACCACCACCACCACCAGCAACAAACATCCAGCAAGTAAAGACTTCTATGCTTCTACTTGGAACTTGAGAAGAATTTTAAAAAACAATTTTTTTGCTCTCTAAGTACTTGGTGTCTTATTTTCTTTATGAGGCCAGAAAACTCTGGACATCTTCTTTTGGACATTTACTTGGATTCATCTACCGAATGTAAGATCATCAGGTATCAGGCATCAAAGACCCAGAACAAAAATCATACCAATGTGAATGGGGGGTGGGGAGAACGCAGAGTGGAGACCCAAAGCCCACCTGTAGACAGTTGGACATCCCCTTACAGAAGGGTCACAAGGAAGAGATGAGCCATTCAGGGGTGGGTTATACACCAATCATTGAGGACGGTTCCCCATTTCTCCCCCCACTTTCCCCCTACCCTCAAGAGAATTCTGACTCACAGTGACCCTCTAGAGCAGCAGTTCCCAACCTGTGGATCATGACCCCTTTGGGGGTTGAACAACCCCTTTCACAGGGGTCACCTGATTCATAACAGTAGCAAATTGCAGTTATGAAGTAGCAGCAAAGAAAATTTTATGGTTAGGGGGTCACCACAATATGAGGAAGGGTCACGGCATTAGGAAGATTGAGAACC